TGACGAAATATAATTTTTTTTGTCAGTAAAAATGAATCAATGACGTTTTATAATAAACGTCCCTAAATGTTTTATTTTAAAAATCAATTTTAACCTAAAATGTCAGGAAAAATGAAAATATTTTTGCAGGAAAGCTATTTATCAATTGGCTCCATTAAAACACACTCTCTTCAGCAATAAAAAAAATGTCTAAAATATTTTACTAGTACAATACATCAATGCCATATCAGAAGTACTTCACATCTCAGAGCAACTCCAACCCAATTCGCACCAAATTTTTCTACCAAATGTTACATCAAAAGAAATATTTCTCACACCAAATTTTATTCATCTCCAACCCATAAACACTAAAACACAAAATTTCTACACTAAAATAATTTGATTTCTTAATTTTTAGTTCGAATTTAATTAATTTAATATAATTTAGTTCCAACTTAATAATTAGTTTATAATATAAAATATAACTTGTGATGTAAATAATAATTTTTATTAACATTATTTTTTATAACATTAATTATTACATTATTAATTTTAGTTTTTTTTTTTAAAATTGTGTTGTATTTTCTAATATTAATATTATATCGTATGTATTTTAATTTATATAACTAGTAATTCACCCGCGCGATGCACGGAAAAAAATTATTTTATTATAAATATAAATAAAAAATAGAAAAACTAAAATATTTTAAATTATTTAATATAATAATATTTTTGAGCTTCCATTGGTCAAGTATTTATTATTTTTATAGAATACAAAATTACAATTAAAATTAAAATTAAAATTATAATTTTGTATGGTTAATATAATCTCTAATTATGTGCATATTCAAATAAACTTATAGAGAGAATTTACATAATTACATTGATTTATTCTTAATTGTATTTCATCTATATTATAATTTTCACAATACGAATAATAACTAAGATAATTACATTTGGAAAATAAATTTCAAATTTTATATGTATAAATTTAAACTCTAATTGAATACATTTTTATATGATTATATAATATATAGCTATTTTATTTTTCAAAAGTATATTTTTATATGATTATATAATATATAGCTATTTTATTTTTTAAATGTTGTGCTTTTTTTTTTTTTTATATAATAAAAGATGTTGTGGCATTAATTGTAACATTAATTATTTCCCAAACCATATAGCTTTATTATATAAAGGATGTTTTAATTATGTTTGATGTATTTGAAATTTTAATTAATATATATTCAATATTAATCTTGTTTCGATCATCTCAATGAGATCTTTAAAATGATATAATTTATATTTAATAATACAAATTTTAAATATAAGTATTTAACAAAATAAAAAGCTCAAAATGTAGCAAACAAAATAACATTGGGAAAAGAAAAAATGGCATTAGCAAAACGAAAAGAAGATAACAAAATCTTAAGAATAAATTTAAATTTGATAGAAGATCTAGCTGTGTGTGAGTCGATTAGATGCCAAACAACTACAAATTGTTGCAGAGAGAAATCAAGAGCATGGAGGAGGAGTTGAATCAAATCGTGAATTTGCTAAATACTTTGATAATTTGGGAGGAAGTGGGGGGTGGACTAGGAAATTATTAATTTTATTATATTTTTTTCAAAATTGTGTTGTATTTTCTAATATTATTATTATGTCGTATGTATTTTAATTTTTATTATGTTCTAGTCATGTTTGATGTATGTCGTATGTATTTTAATTTTTATTATGTTCTAGTTATGTTTGATGTATGTCGTATGTATTTTAACTTTTATTATGTTCTAGTTATGTTTAATTTATTTGAAATTTTAATTAATATATATTCAATATTAGTCTTATTTTGATCGTCTCAATGAAATCTTTAAAATGGTATAATTTTTATTTAATAATACAAAATTTAAATATAAATATTTAACAAAATAAAAAATTACATATAAAACAAATAAAGAATATATTTGAAATTATTGAAAGAAGGGAAAACGGTCATTTTCCTCTCCCTTTAGAATTTGCCGCGGATGAAGTTCATTAACACCATTCTTTTTTGGCGGCTGGAAACCACCTTGGGGCGGATTGAAAACTAAAAATTATATAATTGGGTCGTGTTGAAAACTAAAAATTATATAATTGCCATTCCAAATTTCTTTACTTTGAATGTTGAAAACTGAAAAGTCATATGCTGCTTAGGACTCTTGTGTTAGTAGTCTGTTAGGTCTCTTTACTTATCTTCTTACATTGTTATTGTACAGACTGTTATTGAGTTACGTTAATCAATATAATTCTCATCTGGTATCAGTATCCATGGTTTTTTCTTTCATGGCAACCTTGGGAGATGATAATGGCGGTTCTGTTCGCGATTCGTTCGAACGGACTGTGTCCGAGGTTACCCCACCCCGTATATCCAAATCCAAGTCTGTCCTCCGCCCACCACTTCGTGTCTATTAAGCTCAACACTCATAATTATTTGTTTTGGCATACACAGATGCTGTCGTTCTTGGAAGGCCAAGGATTACTTGGTTTTGTCGATGGCTCTCTGCCGTGTCCGAAGGTTACTGTGCCGGTGGTGCCGCCGACCGTGCCGGTGGAGTCGACGGCTGACAGTGGCGTCTCGCCACCCTCTGATTCTGCTTCATTGGTGCATCAATGGCGTCGGTAAGATAAGGCGATTCTCTCGTTGCTGATCTCGTCCCTGTCCGTTGAGATGTTGCCCATGGCGATCGGGCATTCGACGTCGCGGCTGTTGTGGGCGGCGATTGAGCAGGAGCTCGGCTCGGCGACGCGTTCTCGGGCGTTGAGGCTTCTCGGCGAGCTGTAGGGGCTGTCACAGGGAGCGTCGTCCGTCTCTGATTATCTGAACAGGGCGAGAGTTCTGGTTGAAGATTTGGTGCTGGCCGGCCGGGTGATCTCGCTTGATGATCAGAATCTCTACGTTTTTCGAGGCTTACGACCGGAGCTGTGTCCTCTTGTTGCTCCGTTGACGCGTGGATCTCCGGTAACCTTGTCTGAGCTCTCTGATTATCTAACTTCGTAGGAGTATATTTGTGCGCCGGGCGGTGGTGACACTGCTGCCCCGGCTGCCATGGCAGCGTCTCGTGGCCGTGGAGGTCGCGGTGGTGGCCGCTCTTTTCGTGGAGGCTCGGGCGGTGGCGGCCGAGGACGAGGGGGTCGGGGCTGTGGCCGGGGACGGTCGGACGTCCGGTGTCAGATTTGTGACAAATTCGGGCACTCAGCACGGGCTTGTTTTCGTAGGTATTCGGAGACTACGGATCCTCAGGCTCATATGGTTTTTTCTGGTGCTGAGAATGGTGGTGTTGAGTCTCACGGGAGGCACGAATCATGCTACTCCCGACTCCTCTGTGCTGACCACTTCGGCTCGCTATGATGGCCCAGACACCTTACGGGTTGGTAATGGTGCAGGTATGACTATATTTAGTGTTGGGTCTGCTTCGATAGCTTCTCCTTTTCGGTCGTTTAGTTTAAATGATGTCTTACACGTTCCTAGCTTGTCGTCTTCGTTGCTTTCTGTTCAACGGTTTGCTACGGATAACCATGTCTTTTTTGAATTTCACCCTGACTGTTTTCTTGTGAATGATCTCTTGACCAAGAAGGTGGTTTTTAAGCTCGGGTGGCTTATATTCGTGGCCCACGTCTTCTTCGAGTCCGTCTTCTTATGTTGCTACGCGTGCGTCGTCTTCTACTTGGCACAAGCGGCTTGGTCATCCACACACACGGGTGCTGCGTCAGATTTTGCAGTTATCCGGTGTTGGTTCGTTTAATTCTAGTGAATTGTCGCGTTTATGTTCTTCGTGTCAGTTAGGGAAGTCTTCCCGTTTTTCTTTACCTCGTGTTGAAACACAAAGTTCTCATGTGTTAGAACTTATATATACTGATATGTGGGGCCCTGCGCCTGTGTACTCTGTGAATGGTTTTCGCTATTTTGTTATATTCGTGGATGATTTTACACGTTATGTGTGGTTTTATCCTATGCGTGCGAAAACTGATATCTATTCTATTTTTGAGCAGTTTCGGTCAATAGTTGAGCGTTCGTTTTCCCGCAAAATTATGTCTATCCAGTCTGATCTAGGGCGAGAGCACAAAAAGCTCCACTCTACCTTTGAGTCGCTTGGTATTCGTCACAGGCAGTCCTGTGCGTATACACATGAACAGAATGGTCGGGTACAACGCCGTCATCCACATATAGTTGAAACTGGGTTGGCCTTGATGGCTCAGGCGTCTATTCCCTCTCGTTTTTGGGATTATGCGTTTGAGACTGCGGTCTACTTAATTAACAAGATGCCCACTCGTGTGTTGAACGATGAGTCTCCTCATTTTCGCCTGCATCGTTATCCTCCCTCATATTCCTTCTTGCGTGTTTTTGGCTGTCTGTGTTTTCCTTTATTACGCCCTATAATCGTAATAAATTGGAATACCGTTCGTCTCCCTGTGTTTTCTTAGGGTATCTAGATTCTTTTCGTGACTATCGTTGTCTGAATCCTAACACTAATAAGGTCTTTATCTGTCGCCATGTGCGATTTGATGAGTCCGTTTTTCCTTTTGCTGGCTCTCTTTCCTCGCAGGTGGTTTCTCAGCCCCCGGTGGTTCCTTGGGGTGTTGCTCCAGTTGTTTCTGTTTCTGTGCCTCCTCCCTCTGATGAGGTGGCGGATGGTGGTCCTGAGGAATAGGTTGCGGGTTCTGAACCGGTGCCGGTGGATTCTGTGTCTAGTGAGCGGACGGTTTCTGATCGAGGCCAGCCGGCTCGTGTTGGTCGTCCTCGCCGTGGGGCTAAGGTGGTTGGTCCTCGCTCTCATGTTATGGCCACGCGGAGCATGTGGCTCTGGTGTCTACTGTTGATCCTCCTGAGCCCACATGTTACTCGCAGGCTTTTAAGCATTCGGAGTGGCGTGAAGCCATGGACGCCGAGTTTAATGCTCTTCTTCAGAATCAAACTTGGTGACTTGTTCCTTACACTTCGGGGATGAATGTTGTGGGGTGTAAGTGGGTGTTTCGGGTCAAGAGGAATGCTGACGGGTCTATTGAGCGGCACAAGGCCCGGTTATTTGCGAAGGGCTTTAATCAGATTGTGGGCAAGGGTTTCTTTGAGACCTTCAGTCCGGTTGTTAAGCCCACCACGGTTCGTCTCCTGCTTTACTTGGCCTATTATTGTGATTGGTGTATTCGGCAGCTGGACGTTCATAGCGCCTTCCTTAATGGGCGTTTGGCTGAGACGGTGTATATGCGACAGCCTCCAGGTTACGAGGACAAGTCAGTGCCTGATCATGTTTGTTTTCTACAGCGCTCTTTGTATGGGCTCAAGCATGCCCCGCGTGCATGGTTTACCTGCTTGCATAATTTTCTTCTTTCGGTTGGTTTTGTTCCGTCAAAGACTGATGTCTCTTTGTTCATTTATTCTGACCGTGGTGTGCAGCTTTATTTTTTGGTTTATGTAGATGACATTCTTGTCATGGGCTCGGACTCACACCGTGTTACTGGGTTGGTCGATCGGCTTGCTCAAGAGTTTAAGATTCGGGACATGGGGCCTCCGTCTTTCTTTCTGGGCATTGAGACTGTTCCTCTTTCTGATGGTATTCTTCTGTCTCAGCGACGCTATGTTCAGGATATTCTCAAGCGTGCAGGGATGGTCGACTATCAGCCGGTTTCCACTCCGGTCTCGGTTGCTCGCTCTGAGGACAGTGATGCTGCTCCTTTTGCTGATCCTACACACTACCGCGGGCTCGCAGGTGCTCTGCAGTACTTAACGGTGACTCGTCCTGATTTGTCTTTTGCGGTGAACAGACTTTGCCAGCGCATGCAGGCTCCTACTACTGCTAATTGGTCTATGATGAAGCATGTGTTGCGGTATGTGAAAGGCACTCTTGGTATGGGGCTGTGTGTTCGAAAGTCTTTGTCTACCTCGCTACATGCGTTCTCTGATTCGGATTGGGCTGGTAGTCCGGATGATAGGAAGTCCACCAGTGGTTTTGCCGTGTATTTGGGATCTAATATGATTTCGTGGTCGTGTCGGAAGCAGCGCACGGTGGCGCGTTCCTCTACTGAGGCTGAGTACAAGACTTTAGTTGATGTGGCGGCTGAGGTGACATGGCTGGTTTCTTTGCTTCGGGAGATTGGTTTTTCTTCGGCTTCTGCGCCTAGTCTGTGGTGTGACAACTTGAGTGCTACGTATCTATGTGCCAATCCAGTTTTTCATGCCTAGACCAAACACGTAGAAATTGATTACCACTTCGTCAGAGACAAGGTCGCCAAAAAGGAGATTCAGGTTCACTTTATTTCCACGAAGGATCAGATTGCTGACATCTTTACCAAGCCACTTGCGTCTACTTGGTTCTCCTATCTTCGTGACAAGCTCAACATTACGACTGCTCTACCTTGAGCTTGAGGGGGAGTGTTAGGACTCTTGTGTTAGTAGTCTGTTAGGTCTCTTTACTTATCTTCTTATATTGTTATTGTACAAACTATTATTGAGTTACGTTAATCAATACAATCCTCATCATGCTAACTTTAAATCGTATGATGTATGTATGATATGATTTTCCCAAATACAGAGTACAAGTTTTTAATAAATCGTAGTTGAGAGGCAGTATACTATGGTCTATGGTCCAATACACAGAATTATTTGACTTAATAATATACAGAATTCATGTTCATAATACTTATACATATAAACACGATATAATGAAAACACATAAACATTTAACGTAATACACATAATTCATATTCATAATATACAGAATTCGTGTCTATAATGCACATGATTCATATTCATTATATCATGCATGTTTATGTGTATGTGTATTATGATTATGAAGGCAAATTTTATGTATTGAACTAGGGTGCACAGTACATTGTGGATCAGGATCCACGATATAACAATTGAGTTGAGGGATGGTGGGTCGATCAGGAGATAAATAACGAAGGCTCGAACCACAAGTAGGTTCATAGGGCTGGTCTGGAAGTGTTAGTATGCTGAAAAGCAAAATTAATAGTGCGAGTGGAAGCAAAATATGAACCATTCATTTTAACAAACAATTATACTAATATTTTTATTTTTATTTTAGAGATTTAACTTTATTGACTCTTATTATTAGATCAGATTAGATTAAAGATGAGATATTAGAGATTTATAGATATATGAGTTATACTATATGTACTCTCAAATCTTACTACCTCAAATTTACTCCGTGATGTGACGGACATTGATATGTAATTTTCTTCATGTGAGCCATTGTAAAAGTGTCTGTTTACTCCGTTTTCTATTTATGGGCAAATTATTTGGTAGACTCGGGTTCAAAATACACAATTTACATACTAAATGTTCACAGTTTTGTAAAAAGTAAATTGTGAACGTTTAATATATAAATTTTGTATTTTAAATTTGGGTCCACTTTGCAAGGTGGACCTTGGTCCATGTAGAACAGTAGAAGTGTAGCTTATACCCCGGTCGTTATATCGTGGATCGCGGTGCACCTGCACCGCGGTCAAACCGGCGTCGTTAACGGTAACGAAGCACGCATTTTTTGGTGTGTTAATTACCAACTGAAAGTCTGAAACTACAGTGTATCTAAACCGACACTGCCTCATGTATTATTTTATATATTATCAAATGAAACTACAGTTATATCAAAATAATACTGTGGTTGTGGTGAAATGAAACTGCAGTGTATACAAAATGAAACTGAATAACATTTCACATATTTGAGTGTATATTGTGCAATGAAGTTGTAGTTATATCGAAATGATCATTTAGTTGTGTTTTAATGAAACTATAGTGTATATAAAATAAAATAAAATAACATTTTTACATATTTGAGTGTAGTTATATCGAAATAAAACTGTACCACCCAAACCACTCTTTAGAAGCCAAAGGTCTCCTAAAATGGAAATCCACTCTTTACCACCCAAACCACTCGTTGGAATCTTATTGCTCTTGAGTTATATCTCTAGAACGTTAAATTTACCTGTTTATACTTTAGCTTCGTTAGCCTTCGATAATGATCAATCTATGTACTGGGATTTTGTCCCTCCTCTATTTCTATGCTCATTTAATAATACATCATTATTATTTTTTTAAAAAAATAGACAAATTATTATGTGGACCCGAATTCAAAATACACAATTTACATATTGAACGTTCAAAATTTACATACTAAATGTTCACAATTTTGTAAAAGGTTAATTACACAATTTACCTACTGAATGTTCACAATTTTATAAAAAAGTAAATTGTGAACATTAAGTAAGTAAAATTGTGAACGTTCAATATATAAAGGCAGAAGTGTCAAATAGTCTCATCTACAATTGTGAAGTGCTCAATTTCCACCACAAACTAAATTAAGTGTCAAATAAGTCCATTTATCAGTGTTCGATTAACTTTTTTTTTTTACAGATTGTTAACAAGTTGTTGCCTATTCAATTATTAAAAAATGGCATTTGACATTGAAGCTTTCCATTCTAAAGGTTCTGTCTATGTTTTTTACATTTTTGTTTGCCCAGATGCTTTTGAGTTTTGACACCCAACTGAAAACATGGTCCGAGACCAAAACCATGCCAATTGACTTTGTTCAATTGGAGTTGGTACCTAAATTTTCAGCGTGTCCCCGACTCCGTTGACGTTGACTTGTGAGCTCTTATTGGAGATTGTTTGCTATAAGTTCAAAAAAAACGCGATACGATCCGAACTCACAATTAGAACTGCTCAAAAATAAAAATAAAAATGAAAATGAGTCATTTAGTAGTAGCAAGGCTTCTAGCTATACTTTCTTTACTTTGCTTCCTTCTGCTTTCTTCTAATGTGATTCCTGCTTCCAGTAATGAAGAAGCCAAAGGTCTCCTGAAATGGAAATCCACTTTTTACCACCCAAACCACTCGTTGGATTCTTCATGGACTATTTCAGAAAATTCCCCATGAACTAGGAAAGCTAAAGTCACTCTCCTTTCTCAGTTTATGGTCAAACAATCTTAGTGGTCATATCCCAGCTTCACTAGGTGGCCTAGAGAATTTGTTACTTCTTCACCTCTATGGTAACCAACTTAGTGGTTCACTACCTGAAGAGTTAGGGAACCTAAAGAGCATCACTGATCTACAACTGAGTGAGAATATGCTCAGTGGTTCAATCCCTACTTCCATAGGGCGTTTGAGGAACTTAGAAATCTTGTTTCTTCGTGCCAACGATCTTTCTGGTTCCATTCCTCCTGAACTTGGCAAACTGAAAAAGTTGACCGTACTGGAAATGGATGAAAACCAATTCTCAGGCCATTTGCCAGACGGTATTTGTAAAGGGGGGGCACTTCAAAATTTCACGGTGAACAATAATAACCTCTCGGGCCCGATTCCACCCAGCTTAAGAGACTGCAAAAGCTTAAAGCGTGTCCGGTTTGATGGCAATATGTTCACCGGAAACCTGTCTGAATCTTTTGGCATATACCCTGATTTGCAGTTTATGTGGCTCAGTCAAAACCAGTTCCACGGTGAAATCTCCATGCCATCAGTCATGCACAGTTTCATGCATGTTAGATGAGGTACGGTATTCTGAAATGTTTGTATGGTTTTAAGAAGAGAGCCTTAGAGTTGTGCTGTGTGAGGCTTTGAATAATTGTGGTCTGGAGAGTTTTGGCTTGAGGTTTGGTCTGTGATTACAGCTCTGTTCAGTCTATTTGCTAGCTATATGATATCTGTGGTGGTTAATTTGTAGGTGTCCGTCATTTGTGGAGTAGTCTGTGTAGTTAAGTAGATGAGTTTGAATTCAGGGTTGTGGCATATTTTCTTAAGATCTTAAATCTGATTGTATTCATACTCATGAAGTCATGTTTGCCGATTGTCATCAAGCATTCTCTTTTTTTTCCTTTTCTTTGATTGTGAAAGGCGATCTCATTGTAATGTCATTCCAAATTTCTTTACTTTGAATGTTAAAAAGTTATGCTAGTTTTTTTTTTTTTTTTTTTTTTTTGGTTAAAGGGAAGGTGTTATATTCTGGAGCGAAAGCACGCGTCACTTGTTGATTAGGGTTATTGGGGATTGTTTGTAGGTTGTTTATGTTGAATTGAGAAATAAATTAAAGGGTATTGAGGAATTGAACAAGGATAATAGGAACATTTTGAGTTGTTTCACCTCTTGATTTTAACTTTAACTTCTTTTTTGTTTGTTTACCGTTTAAGGCCGGCTAAGGATACCTTGTGGTCTGACTAAAAAAAAAAAAAAAATTCTTCTTTATATAAGAGGGTTACAAAGACTAAGAAAAAACTAACTAAAACATAAACAGGAAAGAGGAATCATTAAAACTCCTTACCATAATTATTTGTTATCTCTATTGGAAATAAATCAATTCTAATAACAAAGATATTTCCTTAATCATATCATTACTCATGGACAATTGGACATCAAGCTTGTGAAATAAACACGGCCGGAAATTAGCATTTTTCCAACCTTATTTTTGACCACCCAAAAATTTTGTACTTGATAATGTGAATCAAATACTTGGTAATGATAATGAGTTTGTGTAGAAGTCACTTGTTTGGTAGTAAATAGGAATTAGAATCAAAATAAATGAATGAATAATTAATTAATTAATTAATTAAAATAAGGAAAAATTGCATCTTTGGTTCCTGAGTTATACCCAAATTTCAACTTAGTCATTCAGTTATGGCCGTATCCATTTTTTACCGCTCAATTATTAGTGAAGTGACGAGTTTAGTCCCCGATGTTAAGTTTAAATCTCAACTTGAAGGAAAACCCAATATTATTGGAGGGATAAAGTGGAAAATTCAGATCTTATTCTCCTTATATTGAAACTACTTTCCCAACATATTTTTTACTTTCCAACCTTCTATTTTAAAATTCTTCAACTCTAAAAGCATTTCAATAACTCTCGTATAACTTTATAGGAACTTGGTCTCGTATAAAAAACTTGAGATTTCGTACAAATTAAGAACACTTGATCACCTTCTTCAAATGTGTGAAACACACTGATAGGTAATACGGTCACCCTCCCAGTCGGCTTATAAAAAACATAATTAAACTCCATTTTCAAATTTCAACTAAAAATAATTAATATATTTATAAGTAACTCATAATACATTTTTTTTCATTATTTATTTTCATAAAAAATATTTTGTAATAATAAATATATATATTAATATATTTATTAAATTTTTAATAAAATACTAAAAACGAGCTTATGTACAAACTCCAATTATATACTGTTCTATATTATTTGTGAAACAATGAGTAACCTTAAGTGGTTTGAACTATCGAACTAACTCGTTTAGACAATTAGGCTTATCAATTTTGGAATTATCGAGTCAATATTTTATTAGGCCAAATTTTTTTGGCTCTACCCATAACAAATTTCAATTTTACCAGACCCCATCGATTTTTGGTGAATTTTTGTCGTGTTATGAAATTCCGTACTTTAAGAGTATGAATTCTGTACTTCAAACAAATTAGCAATTGTGTCTTATATGTTATTATTAATTTATATTTTATATTGTGAAATTTTGTGCCTATGAACACAACTATATACTTAAATCATATTTGAAAAATAAATAAATATATAACATACATATGTGTCTTGTGTTATGATTTTTTGTGTCTGTGTTATGAAGTTCTGCACCTTACAAGTATGAATTTTGTACCTCATCGTTTCGATCCAAAGTCCATAGGACCTGGTTCATGATATAAATTGCCTTTCTGACATCCCTAGGTATAAGTGTATAACGCTACGTCTCTACTAAACACAAGACAAGACAAGACATAATACAAATTAAATTGAATTTTATGGAGCCATAGGAACAGGTGGAAAAGTATGATGATTTACAATAAACATGAAGGATTGAAGGTCATTCACATGCTGGTTTCACGTCAAAGCTAGTCAAGCAGATTGCAAAAGCTTGGAAGGCTGAAAGAGGGAAGCAATAATCCATGGTGAAAGTATCTTTCGCAATTTTCCCAAACTGCAGGATTACCTTCTCTTGATCTGTTTGTGCGGTATTATGAGAGGGATCAACCGCGGCAATAAGCTGAAAATTCTTAACAGAAGCCACTGTAACACGACCTTTGAAATTTAGGTACCAGCATTGTAAATCTTCGTGCCATTTAGGGACCTTGTTTTTCATGGTAAGTGGAACTTGAGAAGGTGGAGATGATGGCGGTGACACTCGTGAACCTAAAAGGCTGGGGGAATTGGAATCTGTCACTGGCTCCTTAATTTTTGATACCGGTGGAGGAGTATACTTACTGCCGAATGATAGTGGCAAAGATGTCGGCGTTGGAGCTGTGCCCCCCTCCTGAATAGAAGATAACGGAATAGAATGCATGACACATTGCATTCTCCTAGGCCCTTTGGTGCGAAGAATTTTGAGTTTGTAAGTAATAGTTGAGACACTGTGATTGCGCGTAGATGATCCAGAAGAGAATTTATTGGCATTGAATATTTTTCTTCGTTGATTGTTGGGCTGAGCTCCAATGGGATATGGAGATTGGCTATCATATATAGTGAACTTGGTGCCAAGGAAGTTAGACCTGGTAAAATTTCCTTTTCCATCAGTTATAGCAAAACAAAATAAGCCATTGAAAATTTTACGGTTTTCATTTTCTTTTGCGGGGTGGATAGAGTTTCAGAAATCTTTACCTCAGTTTCCCAACATATGTATTGCTGGATCGTGAAAAATTATCTGCAACCAATGATATCACAAATTCCGTGCCTGTTAACCTTCTTATTCTTTTTGCTGCTAGAAGTAGTTTATCACTCCCATCCTTAGCTGTGACATGGTAATCATACGATTAGTACCAATCGAAAACAGAACCTCTGTACACAAAGAGGTACAAAAATATTGACTACCTACTAAATTCGGCCAATATAAATTATACCCCTACCTACTAAGGTCTCCATACATTATACAACCAAAATATTGACTAATATACAAGCGAATGCTTTAAACTTGGGAATCCCAAAGCATAACTTCATGTTTCTTGAGAAACAATAAGTTGAAAGGTCCAGCATATGGCAATAAGCCACCACAAAGGCAGAAGTTTGATTAGTGTAGAACGAGAGATAAGATAAATTGATAATAACTTCAAAGAGATATTACATGAGCCTATTATTTATAGGTCAAGTGTCAAACTATGAAAAGCCAAAAGACTCCAGGAAATATGAAGACTCAGAAATAGGAAGCATTCTTGAAATGTTTAACACACGTTCATCTTCAACAGTGGTATAGATTTAAATAAGCAAAAAGCAAATAAGAATCTCCACTTAGAACATGACTTACATGGAGTCAAACCAAGGTAGAGGCGATAAGTTGAGGTAGATCTATCCCTTTTAATGAAGCATTGGATAGGAAATTCACGGGGCCCCGGCTGGTTTAGAATAGATTGAGGAACAAATAGTGTTATCAGCAACCAGATTAACTAGATATGAGGAATTGAGGACCGACTAAGCAGATTTACCTGTTTAAGTGAAATGGGGAAGGTAATCTTCCCACATTCCTCAGGAGTCTTCACAATCTCCTTAGTGATTTCTCTCCATGACTTACAAACCGAAGCACAAGCCAGAACTGCACTCCTACCTGGCCATGATGTCTCACTCTTTTCAACCCTCTGAATTATATCTAAGAGCAATTCTGGTGGTAAATATTCCCAATTCCTCTGTTCAACTGAATCAAGCGGCAATGGATCGGGCCGGGGGATGTGATTGCAGCCCCTGCTTTGACATTGCCTCCCTTCCTGCCCTATCCTTCTTTTCCCCCCCTTCACATCTTTCATCTCCCTTGTAATGCTCTTCATCAACATTATGGTGATCATATCAATCACACTTTCACAGGATTCTAATAACCACAACACAAAAAATTGAAAATTATTGAATCAGAAATCAGAATAGAAATATCATCTTAGTCTTATCCGCTACACATCTACAAGCATCAGATGAACAGTTCTCATATACAAATTCTTATCAATTTTTTACGCAATCAACCACATTATTTCAAGTTTTTAATTTGTTTTATATATAATGGAATTTTTATTTTATTATTTCTAAATCAGAAGCCACATTTGTTGTTGATCCCATAAAATCGTTGACATTTGCAAGATTACTTGTGTTATTTACGATGCGCGCCATAAAAAAAATACAGAAAAAAAGGTAAAATAAAATAAAATGAGAATTGCATTGAAGAAAGAGGAAGGGAAAAGAAGTGAACCTGAGCAAAGAAGAAGAATCAGAAGAGATCGAGTTGATAATTGAAAAAACAATGAAGGCCAATGCAGAATGTTCTCCGGCGGAACCCTGTGGCGGTTTCGCGTTAGTGTCTCTCCTGTTCGGAAGTCACATAGCCGGAACCGCCATTCCAGCCTCCAATACCGCCGTATACGGTATACTCCTCCACCGTCTGTCCGTCTAGAAAGGGATCACGAGCTCAAAGGCCGGACTGCCGGAGGGCTGATACTCCCCAAGGCGTAAAAAATAAAAGAATTTCACCCCTTAAGTTGATTTTTTTTTTTTTTCCAAACTTCAATTAATTATAATCCAGTAAAATATATTTCAAAAAATAATTCATTTGTTATAAATATAATTAAGTGGATACATTATGACTTATTATATAACGGTTATAACAGTCGTAACATTACTATCACCATTATTATTTCCGTGACATATATATATATATATATATATATATATATATATATATATATATATATATATAAATTTCTACGATTATACTTTATCTCTATTACTTTGTTTATTTCATTTTCTTACACTTTATCTCTTTCATTGGTTATACTGTAATTCGTTTTATTCAAGAATGCTATGAGCTAATTAAATTTATACTTTACATGACATACCTATTGGGGTACATTAGATTTATTAATAATTTTTTCACTTTGTTACATCAAATACAAAAGAATAAGATTACCTTAACACCCCACCCTAGAACAATATTCTAAAATATTTGAAGTCAACAATTTCTTAATAATATATAGTGGATAATATAACACCACTCTCAAATTACTTTTTTTTTGAAAGCACTCTCAAATTACTTTATCACTTATCAACTGAAGATTCGATAAATGATCATCATATTTGCCCCCCTTCTTGTAGCATATAAACAGCCCCTCTCACCTACTTTAATGCAACAACTTTCAACATGCAATCAGATAGTAAAATTAATTCATATATTTTAAAAAGAGTATAGTTAAATTCACAAATTGATCATCAATTTTCAATTTCAACCAATTAAGTCCTTAATTTTGCAATTTTGACACGATTTGGTCCTCCATCTATTTGACCGTTTGTTGACCGTAATCGACGATCTCCAGAAGAACCTTTAGCTCTCGTCGGAGCACGTGAAGACCTCCAGGATGACGTTGCACCGGTTCGGAAACACGTCGTCTTCTTCGCTCTGGTACGAACTCAACTACATTGAATCCAAAGGGAGGATGAAGAAAGGCGATCGGATTTGGTAGATTGCTTTCGGCAGTGGATTCGAATGTAACAGTGCGGTCTGAAAATGCAACCGGAACCTTAAAAAATCGATGATGGACCATGAAATTACATATATATCCTCAAAAATCACAGTCAACAAACGGTCAAATAGAGAGAAGACTAAATTGTGTTAAAATTACAAAGTTAATGACTTAATTGGTTGAATTTAAAAATTGAGGACCAATTTGTGAATTTAGCTATAGTCGAGAGACCATTTTAGGTATTTACTCTTTTAAAAATCTCTTAACAAGTTGAATAGTGAATACATACCCAACTAGTCAAGTTTCACACTTCCACCACAACATCCCTTTGAGCCTATCCTTAACCAACTACCTGCACTTTTAGCCGGTTTCAATTGGTTTCATGAATTGATATAGGTCATGTTTGGTAACATAGTTAGCTTGTTATCAGTTAATTTTAACTTATTTAGTTCCTATTAATTGTTTGACTTAGTTAAACAATTAATATGAATGTTTGATTAATTAGCTTTTTTGTAAAACTTTATTGCTTAAAAATGTTAAAATTAAAAAAGCTGTTTAAAACAATTTTTTGAGGAAGTAATTTTGCATCTAATAAGCTATCAGTTAAGAGCTAATTTACCAAACGCTTTTATTAGCTTAGTTAAACAATTAATATGAATGTTTGATTAATTAGCTTTTTAAAAAAAAACTTTATTGCTTAAAAATGTTAAAATTAAAAAAGCTGTTCAAAACAACTTTTTGGGGAAATAACTTTGCATCTAATAAGCTATCAGCTAAGAGCTAATTTACCAAACGCTTTTATACAATCAGTTAATGTTATTAACTAGTCAAACTCACTAACTCAATCAGCTAACAACCATTGTTTTCTTTTTTGAAATTATAATACTCCCGTTATGGTCAGTGTTTCTCATTTTTGTTGCATGCGTGAATTGACCGGCCAACCAAATGTGGAAACCACAATTATATTATATGTTGAAGATAATATAATGTTGCTCACACCAATTTTATTTAATACATATCCATCGTAGTACTTTATATTCTTTCATCTTATATATTATAATTTATACTAAATTCATTAATTAATTTAAAAATAATCAATACATGTAAAAAAAAAATTAAAAAAAGGTTGTGATCATTTTGATTTAATCTTGTTACGTACAGTGTGAAATTTTAGAATAAGTAATATTTTCTTCTATCAAATTTCAAAGAACAATGTATAACATATATTATACGCACGTAACTTTTAAGATGACATACATAATAAGCTAATAACTCATCAAATTCATTACAACTCTGCGGATACAACGTGAGTTGAATTCAAAAATCAAATTAGTCTCATTTTTTCATACTACTCTATTGCTCAAGTATTAACACCCAGTAGAGTGAGACTAATTCAATTAAGTTTTGGTTGAGTCTTATTTAGAAAAAATTTCTCAAGGATGTTGTTGCATACACAAGAGTTTGAACTCTTACAGGGCGTTTGGTTGGAGTGAGGGAATTATGTGGGAAAGGAATTGTAATTCCGTGGGAGATGAATTACTGGGAATAAAGTGAGAATTTAAATTCCAGTGTTTGGTTTACAGGAATAGAATTACTGGGAATTTCAATTCCAATGTTTGGTACATGGAAATTGAAAGGGAATAAGTAGTGTAAAGTAAAAAATGTCCATTGTTGTTGTTAGGCATTAATTTTAGGTTAAAAAAGGAATGGGTAATTTTGACTCATCACTATCTTTTTTTCTTCTTAAAATCCCAGGAATTAAAATACCAGTGGGGGACATGGAATTTTAATTCCATGAAAATGGGGGAATTGCAATTCCATGGAATTGCAATTCCTTCCAACCAAACTACGGAATTTAATGGTGTTTGGAATTAAGTGGGAATTATGTAGGAAGGGAATTTAAAATCCCTCCAACCAAACACCCTGTTAATATATAGTGAATGTTTTATATATTTAGAAACTTATTATGTTAGGCAAGTTAAATATTATGAAGATACTCCTTGGCAAACCTACTTCCAGCTGATGTATACTTTCACCAAATGATGTAACACAGCAAGCCATTTGATTTAATTTATTTATTATATTTAGCAGTCTGAATATTATAAAAAGTTCAAAAATTAAAACTACACAATCCTTGTTGCTTGCAAGTTGCAAGGGTAGAGGGGGCCTTTCCCTATTCATTGTTTTTATTTATTTATTTTTGCATTTCTTCTGCTTGAGGTAATTAATTTAAATGGACAGATTCTATAAGCAAAGTCTGGGAGAGAGTTCGAGTGGATTGAAATGCAACAATTTAAAATCTTAAAAGTAAGATTACCTAAGGTCCCATTTAGTGTGCTAGAATGGAAATTCCAACTTAATTCTCCCAAAGTTGAATCATTAATTCTAAGGGCCATCACACCCTGACATGACAAAGCATTTGGGGATGTAAATTACGGTGACTCAATGACTAAGCAGACAGGGCCACATGTCAGTGCGCATAAGGAATCTGTCCACTTTGGGCATAATCCCCACATTGTTGCTGTCGAGTCGAAGTTCGAACATTGGTCTTTTCTATCAAATACTACTTACTGAACCAGTGAGCTAAGCTCGTGCGGGCAAATTCCAGCTTAATTGGTCTAACAGATGGTTTAAAATTGTTCTCCCCAAATTTCTTTACCTTTAAGACAAAGATCCTTGTGGGCAGCTAGAGAATGTGGTTGGTCTTACATAGTTCTCAAGCCCCCAAAATCATTTCTTTTCTTTTGTACAAACTAAGGATATATAGCCAGCCCTTAATATTGTGGATTGAGTGGAGTGCATGGTGGCTTTTCCTGTGCCTCTACGTTAGTCAATGCCCTTAAAAAATAATGACTATCTCCATCACCATTTTGCTTACAAGCCTTGCCATGCTCACCTAATGCCCTTAACAAACTGATAATCACAATCTGCCTGCAGTCACCTATACACACACTTCCATTTATATAAGTATTGTGTGTTTTCCTTCTCAGTTTCATACTTCACCCCTAATATCAATTTCTGAAGCCATCTGAGAGGGAGCAGTAATGGCCAAAAACCAAGCCGGCTTCTTCGTTCTCGTCGCGATACTTCTTTGTTTCGCTTGTTTTCCTTCCCAGGCTGCCATTAAAACCTACCAATTCGACGTGAGTTGCTTGATTGAGCTAGCTTTGTGATATATTTTTCTGGTTTTTGGGTTGAAGAGGGCTTCAAATTTGTGGTTTTATGAAATTTTGCAGGTTCAAGTGAGTAATGTGAGTAGGCTGTGCAATGCAAAGCCTATTGTAACAGTGAATGGAAGATATCCAGGGCCTACCATTTATGCTACAGAAGGGGACAGAGTTCTTATCAATGTCACTAACCATGCACAATATAACATTTCCATCCACTGGTACATTTAACATTATTAATTGAAACACTAATTAATTAAAGTTATTGTTACAATATGTGAAAATCATCTTTAGTTTCTGTTAACCGATCGAGTATAATGGGTGCAGGCATGGGCTGAAGCAGTATAGGAACGGTTGGGCAGACGGACCAGCATACATAACACAGTGCCCAATCAAGACAGGAAATAGTTACGTGTATGACTTCAATGTGACCGGGCAGAGAGGTACCCTGTGGTGGCATGCACACATTCTTTGGCTGAGGGCTACAGTTTATGGTGCAATTGTTATCATGCCACAACAGGGAACCCCCTTCCCTTTTCCTCAACCAGATAGAGAGGAAGTAATTGTTCTTGGTATGCCTGCCTGCCTTTTAATCCCTCTCAATTTTCTTTTCTTCTAGAAAAAATCGCATTTTTGATCCTCTAGTTATACTCATAGTACATAGTTCACTCAAAAACCTTAAAACTCTCCAAACCCATAAATCCCTCCCTCCTGTCCCTTCGGGAACATCTGATAAAATTGGAACGATACAAAGAAGATTAGCATTGTCCAGGCGCAAGGATAACAAGCACAAATGGAGAAATGGTCCTCCCTCATGAAACCCCTTCAAAATCCTT